CTGTGTGTGTGTGTGTGTGTGTGTGTGTGTGTGGGTGTGTGTGTGTGTGCTTTCTGCTCTCACCTGTCCTCTGGCAGATAGCACTGATTACATGCACACACGCACGCATGCACACACACACACACACACACACTCACACTCACAGCCCTGCCTGCCACCTGCTTCCAGTCAAACACAGCTTCACCTTCTGAAAACAATGAACCACTGGACAGAGACACAAAAGCCTGAAAGAGCACACAAACACACTGCGACAAAGAGAGAGGGAGAGAAAAGAGATAAAGCGCAACGTGAAGAGGGATATAAAAAAGGGAAAGTGGTTGAGAATATAAAGAAAAAGAATATGAGAACACACAAAGACAGAGAGGGAGAGACAAAGACAGAAATGTGTGTGTGTGTCCCCAGCGGGGCGGAGTGTGCTTGGTGTAAATAGCTCCATGTGGTGAGCGTCAGCCAGGACAGACAGGCGACTGTCGCCAGCACACTCTCTAGGTCTAGGTCACACACACACACACACACACACACACACACACACACACACACACACACACACACACACACACACACACACACACACACACACACACACACACACACACACACACACACACACACACACACACACACACAGTCCCGTGGGGAGGAATGTTGCAACAAACCCAACATATCCCCAAAACTACCCACAACCCCCTTCCCACACACACACACACACACACACACACACACACACACACACACACACACACACACACACACACACACACACACACACACACACAAATGGTGCAGCTAATTTTCACTCAGAAGACGCACTCATGCACACACACTATTTACATTTTAATTAAAATAAACTTGTTATTGGGGTGTGTAGTGAAGAAACAAGGGACAGGTCTGATGTGATGCGCTGAAGGGAGTAAGCCACTGTGTACACACAAACATCAAATAGCAATGCGTGTGTGTTGAACCACCTCAGAGTGCATATGTGAGCATACTCATGTGTTGAATGTGTGTGTGTAGGTAATCCATACACTAGTTACTCAGTTAACCCCCATGCTGCAACTCTGAACTTCTCCCAGACTGCATATTCAAATCAACGCCCAGCCCTAATTATTGTGTCGAAAACAGTCGAGCACCAAAAATACAAATTACTAGACATAAGTATGGTAATTAAGCAGTAAAAATAAATGGCGCTACAACAGGGCAGCAAACAGCACAGCCGTTTTCCCAGAGAATGGAAAAGCACAGCTGACTCTCTGATCCTCGAGTCTGTGAGAGTTCACGAGTGGAGACCAAAGTAACCATGAAGCATCGCTGATTCAGGGACTTTCTGTCCAGATGGAGACTGCAACTATTGAGTATAGGTATTATCGAATGAATGATCAACTATGAATTACTCCTATGATTTAAAGGACTATTAAGCCTTAGTTAATGGAGCACAACGTTTAAATAACTCCCAAACATATTCAAATAAAGTTGGAGGAGAAAAATAAGCCAATCCTCACATTTAGGAAACAGGAAAAGGAAAGAGTTAAGTGTTTCTACTTTATACATAACTAAATTAATTGTCAAAATTATTTCTAAATCATTTTCGGTCAATTTCTGTCCAATCACGTCGTTCTGAATATCAGTTCTTCATCATTGAGCAGCAGATTGCTGCTCTGATCAATCAGATTGTAATGACCTACACATGTCTGCAGCTAGTTGCACTTTCTTTATAAATTAAAGACACCAGCAATCCAAGCTGTTCACGATTTTTGTCTCATGGTGCAACTTTACCTACGGCTGGGACAGTGATGTCGTATTGAGCTTTCAGGATGTCTTTGCATAAATATGTGTATTTGTTGATGTTTTATTTTATTCCCAAATAATATATTCATTGATGAAAACTAGACAAATGTATGTGTTTTTTAAAAGATTTTCATTGCCATAACTAAACTGTAGCTAATGTGCTAATGACAATAAAGCCTTGAAACGTGGACTGTATTTATATAGCACCTCCAATCTTTACGACTACTCAAAGCGTTTTGACATATACAAGTCAGTATTCACACAAATGCAAGGTGCCAGCTACTCGATGACACTTCACAGTCGCCCAAAATTAAACAGAAAATTACCATTAGCAATACAAACATACTGCAAATGAAGGAGAATTGTTTTGGGTTATTTGTTTGTTTATTTATTTGTTTGTTTTTCTTGGGGCACAATCAGCAGCTTATTTATGTTTTGTCCCCATTTTCTCCTCACTTTCTATAACTGGAAACACTTTCTCCACTGTGTTTGTCACAAAAAGGCCTTGTTTACAGTCAATTGCAGGGCACATTGTCTTTGTGCGGCAGGAAACTCAACAACTTGAGGGTGCATCGGGACGAAGCCAGTGAGTAAAAATCTGATCTGTTCTGAAGAAAAAAAAAGTATTGAAGAATGTGTGTTTATTACTAACCTTGATATGTTGAAGCTCCTTCGGGGATTTAAGTTTCAGACACACAGCCTGACTCAGGTAAGCATCACAGTCCTCCTGAGACAACGTTTGTATCTGAAAACACACACCACACATACATACATAAACACAAACACACCCGCACAGTGGACAATATGTGGTTAGTCAATTCAAACACATCCAGTGTGTGTTCTGTGTGGCTCAGTTTGTTTGGTCTGCTGTCTGTGCAACATTTCAACAGAGAAAGGAACAATGCTGGATGCAGAAACAAGGCTGCCCAGTTGTGTGTACAAAACAAACAAACCCTGCAGCTATTTAAATTGAAGAGTGACGAGGGAATGTGAATGCAGCAGCGATCAGACAACAACAGCTACTGTTGTCTGTCGGCCTGACCACCCATCCAACGGCAGCCTGACAAGATGCTCTTCTGTCTGTCTGATGGTCCTTCATCCATTTAAATGATTGGCTTCAAGTGTCCATCTAAATCTGTCTAAAAGGCTGCCTGTTAATGTAAGTGTTTGTAAGCACTTTGTTCAAATCTGTATAAAAAAATTGCTTCTGGGTAGAATTTGGTTAACATTTAGCTGGTTTGTAAAAATATCACAGGTTGTATGTTTGATTCTGGTCACTGTTCATGTGTTTTTGAGTTCATTTTTTACTGTAAAAACAATGTGGTTGGTTCTAGGAACTGAGCAACAGGATTTTATTGCGATTTGTAATAAAACACTATTTTTTTAAATTGTGAATATTCTCACCTGTGACTTGAAAAAGGTAATAATGGCAACATATTTTGACAAGGAAAAAAAATGCATAGATTTAAAATAGACGATATCTCTGGATCTGCTGCATCAATTTTGATTTACAAAATATGTACTTTCTACCTTCAATCCGACGATGTCATTGGAATGCAATGATTGATTACAGTTCCTTGAAACTAAACTAAAGTATTGTATATTTCTTATACACAAAGATGTTTCAATCAAAGCACTTTGAAAACACTGATTATTTTCTGTGGAGATACATTTTTTGTCGTTTTGTTTTGTAGTTTGATAAATGAATCTACAGTGTAATTTGTGTTTAGATTCTGCAAAATGACGCATGCACCTTTATCCAGGTGTTGTGCTCCCGTGATTTCTTGTGTGTTAAAGCTCAATCAGATGACGTATATGCAGTATGTACAAAGCAAAAACACAAATCTCTGCTTCTTTAACAAACTTTGAAAAGTTATCTCTGTGCTAGACAACAAGGCATTACAACAGAATTACAAACCGGACACATTACAATGTAAAACCAAAATAAGGACCCGATTGTAATAGGGTGAATAAGGTATTGGCTCTTAAGATATTCAAAGCTCCTGGGTGGTTATCAGAGCCGGTGTTGACGCAAAAGCCGGAGTTACAAAGACCAGTGTCTGCGGCTAAACTGGGCCCTGCGTGATAGTGGCTACCATTAAGCCAAACAACAGAGAACAGACTGTCAACAAGTGATGTTTAACTCCAAATCACAAGTTGACAAAGGGTGGAATATTTACTGTATATACTGCTGTAGTAAATCCCAGATCAAAAGCTGACTTGTGTGTTTAATTGTCACCAAATACATTAGTCTTTACATACATCACCAGGTGTAGCTTTACTGCCCATACACTGCCATTATCTGGACTGAAATGCCTCAGTAGAAACTGATGCCTCCTCATTGAGCATTTTAACATCTTCACTGAAGGCTAGGCCAAACATGCAGCCTGACCAATGAAAACCAGAACAGCCACATCAATCTCAGTGAAGTATCCATGACTAATAATGTGTTCATGTGTTTTAGCAATTAGAACACCCACCATGAAGAAAACCACGTATGTATTTTCAATTAAAATAACATAAAACGTAATGACATTTTCCATTCATTGTTTCTATAGACATACATTCTGACACATGTATATGATTCTTGAGGTATGGGAGTAATAAGTCCCATAATTAAATAATTGGAACGCTTGTTCAAATCTTGAGTGGGCTTTTCAGTTTCCCTTTTTGGACTAAATGTAGACAAAGTATTTCCACATTTTCCTGTTAAATTCATCTTACTCAAATAATCCCTCCTCTGCATGTATTTGAGCTAGGCTATTGATCTCTGTTTATTTCCTTCCTTATCCTAAAAACTATCAAAGAAAAAGGAAAGAGTTGGTGATACCTGGAGGGCTATGTAGGTGACGAGGCAGAGAGCAGCCAGGAGAGAGTCTTCAACAGCTCCATATAACTCTGAAAGCTCCTGGCAGTCAAACATCGAAAGGAAGGACTTCAGGCGGAGAGACGAAACCTCAGGACCGTTACCGAACCATAACAAGTCCAGAACGGGCTGATTATCTACACATTCAAACAGAGAAAAACATGCTGTCTTTGTGTTGGAAAACACTCCAGGAAATGAGGCAAATGCTTTTAATGTATTAAGCACAACCAGGCGAAGCTTCTCACAGCCTTTCCGACACTCGTTGATGCCGAGGAATAATTTAATTATAGAGGAAATTATCATTCCAAGGAAGCATTAAAAAAAGTTAAAAACCCTCATGTCCTCATCCTCTTAGTAATCATCACCTGGCGTTACTAGATGGAAATCAGATTGTGTATGTGAGGTATGTGAGGAAAACAGCAGGTACAGTACATTGGAGGCTGATTGGAACGGGATGGACCATGTCAGGCTCCTTCAGAGCGTTTCCAGCGTAGACGAACCATTCCCTGATGGCTGGAAGGTCGACCCTGCTGCCTGAAAACACAGAGTCAGAGTTAGGGTCAGCCAGTTTCACACACGCACTGCAACCCTGACATTATTTATACTTTACCCGGAGGAGCTGCATGTGAAAATGTTAATGTTCGAATCATTCCTGCTTGATATCAAACATACTTTTACCTGGGGTATAGCTGCGATGTCATTAAACTGATACTGTGGTAACAAGTTGATGCCACACTTTTGAAAACCTGACCTTATTCGTGCCCACTGGTACGGTAAGAGCTTAAGACTAACAGTGTCACTTCCTCCTGTGGTGGATATAAAATGTGTTTGAGATGCAGTAAAATCACTATCAACTCTTCCAGGTGACACACCCTTTTCCCACCTGATAATGCTACATTGTAAACATCAAATCTGTGTAGAAATTGGCAGGAGGAGGGCTAAAGAGGTCATTTATGAACAAGGGATGATCCGGCAATGTAACCTTGGTGTTATGTGCTCCATGTCAGGCCTCCTGCCGCTCTCCCCAGGCGTCACACCTGGCCTAAACCNACTGGAAGAAAGATTTGAAAGTAGGAAAAAATGTTGCACACTACTTATGCTCCATATGCATATCTCTTTAAAGATCCCATGACATGCTTTTATGGTTATTACCCATCCCCTTGTGTGTTTCTGCATGTAAACGGTCTGCAAAGTCACAAATCCTCAAAGTATACCCTGTAGCGAGTAAAACTCTTAACACAGAAAAGACCTGTCTATGCTGCCCCAGAACACCTCGTTGGAGATTTTTCTTGTTCAATTTTTTTCTTCCTGAGTATAGTGACGTAATGATACCCAGGTCCAAATGGAACAATCCGCGGAGCGCCTCACACTCACACATTTTCTCAGCCGCGGCTCCGCGGATCTCCGCACACAGCCAGACTGTGAGTGTGTGTGTGTGCTCAGACTGAGTTCCGCGGTGTCTCGCAGACCCCACGCAGCAACCAGGAAACAACACCAGTAGTCCAGCTCACACTGTCCGCTCCTCGAGCATCAAAGGACGGAGCAGCGAGCCCCGCCAACATGGCACCCAGACCCCACGCAGCATTCTCATCTGTTTGTCATTACTGGTGTCATTTTCTGGTTTCTAACGCCATTGTAACACATAAACACTGATGTCCCGCTGTAACGGTGGTGGACTCATCAGAACAGGGTGGGCGAGCTGACCAATCAGAGCACAGTGGGCTCATAGGGAGGGGGAGGGGGGGGGCAGGAGCTCCAACAAGCCGTTTAGGAAAGAGTGAATACACATACTTTACAGAGATGCTGTATGAGGAACCAATGTGAGTTTGGAAAATTTCACAATTTAAATCTATTCTAGTAGACCTCAACAATGGAAATATGATCAGTAGAAATGGCCATGTCATGGGACCTTTAAGTCAGAGGAGGTTTTGGCTCTCAGATCTTCTCCGTTGATGAGTTAAAGGAGGTACAGGACATACCTTTAATATTTCTGAACTAACATGTTTCTCAAAGGCAGAGGAAGGTGCAGAGATGTCACCGAGCTGAATAGCTTCCTCTCCAGGTAGTAAATAAGAGCGGACGCCTCTCTTCAGTAGCTCTCTGTGAGGAGCTGACAGATTCAGAGTCTGAGGGATGAGCCCAGTCTCTTGCTCCTCTCTGCCCCACACAGAGCTCACAAGGTGGGATACAGCCATAACCATCTGCCCCTGGGGAGCACCAGAGTGTGCTGTGGGGTTGTCTATCCTAAGAAACAAAAACATTGATTAAAAGCAACTTTTAAAGATGAATTCAACTAAGAGCAACCCTCAAAGTAAAACCCAAGTCACCTGTATGTTGCCATGGCGTTGTTCCTGATGTGCAGCATCTTATCCTCTGACACCACGTCGTTACCTAGGAGACAGGCCAGCAGTGGTAGCTGGGCAACAGTCAGTCCGATGGTTTGGCAGAGCCTCTGTCGGTCGTACATGACCGTGGTGAGGCTGTGTATCCGCAGCTTTGCCACAGAGAAGCAGGGGGCACTTTAAAAGATACAACTTTCTCCATGAGCAATTTATATTAGAATATATAAATAAATTCCCAAAAATCAATAAATCAATTTCTTAAACTGTAAGCAGGTACTCAAATGTGAATTAGCCTGCTTTAAAAAGCTATTCTTGATTTCTTCCTATTATTTGTATTACCCATACTGCATGGAATTATCAACAGATCCTAAAAGATAGTAAAGTTCAATGAAATTCAAACTCTCTGTGCAAATGTTTTATCAGTTCATTTTAATGTTATTGAAAACAAAATGCCTTTAGGTCGATATATTTAGTCTAATATTTAACAAACCTGTCATATATGATGAAGTCGGAGTCCTGTCCCAGAATACCCATACTACCATGCTGACGAGCATAGCTGGCAATCTCATAGTCAGCCTCCCGCACTGAGCAAAACACCTCCTGACCCAGTGACCTGCGAACAGCCAAATATACATTAAGAAAAGTATAACAAGAACGATTATTGGAGAACAACTCGAAACTTATTTTCACAGTGTTTAGAGATGACTGTGATTTCATCGTAATTGGTCTTGAAAATGCTGACCTGAGAGCAAAGCGTGTGAATGTTGCCAGACCAGAAGGCAGACAAAAGAGCTCTCTACCGGGCTGCTCTCCTTGAGCTTTGATGTGACGAAACAGTTTAGAAATCTCCCCGTTCACTCTGCGTCTCCTCTTCACCTGTGGACAGAAGGAGATGTTGTTCACAGAAGGAGATGTTGTTCACAGAAGGATGATCTTAAATTGAGTAAATCACAGTCCTTCTGCAAGTTAATAGTTAAATATGAGAGCTGTTTCATACTTTGTGTCCGACATGCTATGACATTATTAAAGGGATATTTTGGATGTGATTAGATGACAATAAAGTTGAAGTTGAACTTAACATCTGCACTATAGTGCTACAGAAAACTCCGTACTATAAACTATGTAACTGAAGACAGAGAAGGCCCGGCTTGCACCATATTCAAGTTTGATTATTTGAACGGCAAAAGTTCAGAGTTTCTTTTCTCACCCACTCCCGTCTCTTCTGCTCTTCCACCACTCCGTCGAAGAAGAAGACCAGTCTGATGCCAGCTGAGCTGAAGGCCTCCACCCAGCCCTTCAGCCCATCCATGTACTCCCTCCACTGCCCCCCACACACCCAGTCTTTACACGAGTACCAGTGGCGCAGGCAGGCCATACCATCCACAACAAGTGTGGGTCCTGATAGGAGGGGAAACACAACTGTAACAAAGTGCCGGTCTGCATGCTAACCCAAATGATTGACAGAAAGACATTTGTAATTTACTGTCATTTTGAATCTTATGGTTTTATTAGATCATCAAGATTGTGTTCCTGATTGCTTCCAGCCATGCACACTGATATCCTTGGCTGTCACTGATTTACCTTTGTCTGTATTCCTGTTTGCACTACTCTACGGATTCAAGCTACCAGCTTCACTTGATGATAAGTCTACGTATGTAGCTGGGAGCAGCAGCGTTTGTATTGGTAATCAAGTAACCAACTGCCATAGCTTAAAATAAGACACTTGACTTGGTCAAAAGAAGATACATAAAATGCTTTAAACTAATGTCATACTATAAATATCTATATTATGAAAAGATGTGTATAAAATGTATTTTTGATTTGTTCAAATGTACAGCTAATTTATTGGCCCATCGCCCAGACCAGACAGATCCATGTAATAACAACAGAGTCACAGAAACACTACACAAAGATGCACAACAACTGCAACAAGATATCAAATAAAACCAACAAGGGGCAAAACAACCACAAAAACAATCAATAAGGCTGCAAAGAGACACAAAAGCTCAAACAACCACAAAGAGACACAAAACTACTAAAAACGATGACAAACAACTGCAAGGAGACACAACATTAAAACAAAGATGAACAGAACAACCAACATATACACACAACATCTGACTATGACTACATGCGCACTGATATAAACTCAACTGGTAGCCTACTGTTAGCAGTGGTCTTGCAGCCTGTCTGTCTTTTAGCAGCGTGTTGTCGGGACATTTCTCTCAGGTTCACAGACACACACGCCTCTGGGCAGCAGCGGTCCATGAAGCTCTGAAGACCTTTCACACCCATTCCTGCAGAGAAGAGACAGAAAGGGGAGTTCATTCACAACGTGTCAGGTAACCAGCAGTGTATTGAATGGCCGCTTTAATGGAAATGTGTAACATCTTGTGTATGAATTTCATGAGTGTGACTGTTTCAGTTGCACTTCGCATAAAAACACACTGTGACTCTATTCAATGAAAATAGATCTCAATGCTAACAGTTAGCTTAGCTCCTAACCTCTAAAAACTCATTCATTGCGAGGCTTCTGAGTCTGCTGTGCTTACAAACAAACTCGTATGTGAATACTTTCACCCCATATTACTGCTTCGCATAGCAGAGACTTACTTTAATATTGGTGTAAGTGAGCTGCATGTATCCGTGTTGTGCCTACTTGGTGTAAATTAAAATTACTTCCGCTATGTTACGCATTGGGTGACCTCATCACGTAGCAAAACAAAGCACACGTGCTCGGCGCACGTAGCAGCCAGAGTAAGTGTGCAGGGTTGGGTCAGATTACTCTGAAATTACTGAACTGAATAGAATACATTACATTTCTAATCACATAGGCGATCTAATCTGAATAATGTGGATTTCTTCAGGATCAAACATTGAAAATAATTCCGTTACTAGCCAACCCTGTGTGTTTGATTAATACTATTATAAAAGACTGTGTGCAGTTATCCCTGAAACACAATTTGGACAACAAACTTAAATCATCATTGTACTGGCGCAGTAATGAAAAAATAAACATCTTAATGTGGCATGAATGAGAATAGACTATAGAGGTTTTTGTGGGCTCAGTCCACCCATAATAACTCCCCAGGCTAGGATCAGAGACGGGCTAATTGCTCTCCAGGCTCTCCTGGAGAATGGGGGCTTTTTTCTGGAGTCACAAGCTATTAGGTCTACCTTCTCCACACAAAGCACCCCCGTCCCTTCTACTCTATTGTCTGAGTGGAGCAGGAATAAAGAAAGGGACATATGCTGGGTGTCAGTCCAGCTGTCAGCATCTGTCGTTCCTCAGCCAGATGCTCTGTGGACTGGGAGGACAATCCAGCCCTTCCCAGTCAACTGATCTTCAAGGAGGGAGGAGCTGCGTTGTAAACCTGCCCCCCGTTATTGCACTGGAAAGTTATGACCACTGAACTCATGAAGACCACATATGCATCTTGGTTTTAGACAGAACTTGTGCAATGTTTTGTTTTCTGTGTATAATTGATTTAACCCATATCTAACGGGGTAAGAACAACAATCTCTTTCAGAAGAGAGACCTGCAAAAGACGGCAACATAAAAAGTTAACAACTACCACAAGAAAAACTTTAAGTAATGCATAAAGTCTTTAAATGTTGGAATGCTACGCACAGTGACAGGTCCCAACCAAATCATTCAACATTGTACTTAAAAAAACTTCAAAATCCTGCATGGAGACACAATTCTTAGCTTCAAGTCTTTTTAAAGGCTTTTCCAAAGATGAGGGGAGCAGTCCGTGTTGTGATACGATGTTTGATGACAGCTTATCCAGAATGGCTTTCATACTGTTTCCAAAAACACCTGCGACTATAATGATCAAGGATCCAATTTGAGTCTATAAGGTGACATGTATACATGCTGTACATATCAACCAATGTCAAGTATTAGAAAAATCTGTTACAAAAGTCCTTCCAGCATATTTTTACAACATTACACTATTTTATTGTCGTTTACCATTGATAAAAACAGTCTTACATTGTATTTAGTTTTCCTTCTTGTATTGTGTTTATACTGTATATACTTTTAAAAGATGTATTAATCTTGTTTTACCAACTTCTAGGCCTACATTAGCTAAATGTTTATGTTTAGGGTTTTATGTTTGTTTGGCCTTGTTTTTACTATTTCTATTTTGGTGTAAATACAATGAAACAACAGAAAAATTTGATTCCAATTCCTGGTGTTGAACTCATACGTGGCCAATTCAGCAACCTGTGAATACGTTGAATAAACAGCTGCTCTACCTCTTCTTCTCTTCGCCCTTGTTCAAAACTTTTAAACTTTAAAGATCCAGGTATTTACAACATAAACAACAACCATGCAATTCAAAGTACATCAACATACAACCGTAGTGTAGTCACACAAAATAAAACTAGACGAGCAAGAGACGAACCGATGACCAAGGCTTACAACGTATACAAGCACATACTGTATAGTTGTAAATGCAGTTTGTTTGACGTTATCCTTTAAAAGTTTTCTGCTTTTTTTCTGTTCTTTCAACAGATTGAGTGCTATTTTTTTTGTATTAATTGTATCTTTCCAAATCAGCAACATAGTGTTTTTACCCACTAATAATGCTTTTTGTGATGGTTAAGTCTTAATAAGGCATACAATGTCACCCAGGACCAGGATATGACGCAGTTTTATCGAATTAAAAATAACAACTTGAAGAACTTTATACAGCATCTGAAATCCCCCATGTAGACACCTTTATTTTCTGCCAACTTGAATTACAAAAATGTCATGGATTTAGATCTGCGACGTAAACTTCTGTTCTCTGAGGTGTCTCACCACTGAAAACTGCAGTCATCAAACCACTCATTGCCTAAAAAAACTTTAGACCCCACATCAAACCACCTGCCTTAGGGTAATATTGAAAAAAACATTGGAACTAAACAACTGTTCTGTTGCCTCACAGTCACCCACACCACAGCACTGAGACTTATCATGTGAAGGTCTTTAATGACATCAACTTAAACACAGATAGTGGAAAAGTTTCAGTAGTATTACTGGAACTCAGTACTGTAGTGATAAATTGAAAATGCTGTGTGGGACTTCCTGGCACAGTAGGAAACTCTGAATGAAGGATAGGCACTACTATCTAGTATATAGGTAATTACACATCTGAGCGACAATCAGGCATACAGAGTTCCCCAAGGCTCTATTCTGGGGCCTCTTTTGTTTAAAATCTGTAAGCTTCCATTGTCTCTGATTATATATAAAACTAAGTTACCATAACAATTGAGACAACTTTCAAATTTGTATTTTTTACATTAATACATCATTGCATGTTGCATTTTACTCTCATCGAAAAAGCTTTAAAATAGTACGTTTAACCTAAACGTATGCTAATGTATGGGTTCACTCGACAACAAGTGTCTTAAAGACTGCTTTCTGAAAAGTAATCACAGCTGTCTGACAAATGTAGTGTAGTAAAAATAAAAATATTTGTTTCTGAGATGCAGTCGAGTATAAGCATAAGTACTTTGGTGAATGTACTTAGTTACACTTCAGCACTGGACACGCTTTAAATTCATGCCCCTATATGTGAACACAATAGACCAGAGGTGGAGAGGGGTTTATATAATCCTGCATCCCATTTTCAACAGTCAGTGTTTGGGTCTGTCGCCTATTCACGTTGTATCTTTTCAACTTCCTCCTCCTCCTACACTGACTCTTCCTTCTCCTCTTCCATCTCCTCCCCCCTGCTGCCTCCCCCACTCCTGACCAAAGCTTGACTCAGGAGAAACAGAGGCAGATGTTCCAGGAGCACACGACTGCCCTCAGCCCTCCCCCAACCCCTCCCATTTGTACTGGATCAGCAGTTAACCCCCGGAAAGAATTGACCATACAAGCACGCACACACACGTACAAAGAACACCGCTGCACAAATCTGTACTGGCTCAACAGTTGTCCAACTGAATGAACAACACACACACACACACACGCACACGCACACGCACACACACACCAAGTGCTGTCCAAATCCCGTCAATGTCGCTGATAGTAGCCACCTCGGGGTCAGGCCTGGTGTCAGCGTCCAGGGCCGAGGGTCTCTCTGGGCAGCTGGCCAGGCTAATCCTGCTGCTGGAGGCCACTGGTTCTCAAACTAAAGGCCAAGGACCCCCGGGGGGCCACAGGGCAGGGATCTCAGGGAGCAGGGAGTGTGCGATTTGTTCAAAATGCAGGGTTTTTTGTTTGTTTGTTGGCTTGTTTTAAGCCAACATCAAACATTACATTTCATGGTGAAGCAAGACTTTAACTGTGACAACAATGTTATGTGGGAAGATTGCTTAAAAATATTCAATTTGATGTCCCAAAAGACATAGAAAAAACAGCATATCCTCAAATTAGAGGTTTTAAAAATAAGTTTGTTTGGCAATGTTGCTTAATCAGTTACCTTAAAAGATTAAAAACACAGATTGAATGCAAGAATGGAACATGCAGATGAATGAAACACATGTCAAAGTGGGCAAAATATGTTTATGTTGAAACTATTCACAGTTACATTTAAGAGGAATGTTGAAAATACAGCCAATCTAAAAAGTAAAATGATACCTTAACACAGACTACTTAAATGTGTTTTCACTAAATGGACTTCCTATCTTTCATATTCCTGTCAGTATATCATGTCTGTACTATAACACAGGTATACTACAAGTTTGTGTCACACGTGGAGGTTAACAGGTGGTCTAAGTTGTTACATTCCTGACTGGGATGGTAGGTGTGCTGCCTCAGGTCGCTGTGGCTGTGATGGGGAGGAGAACCATGAGTTTCAAGTTTCTGATATGACTGAGATGTTGTTGCTGGGGGAGTCTTATCCATCAAGTTAACCCGACTCTCCATTTATCATTACAATAAGTGCAGGAATGATCATAATCAACACCTATCTATCTATCTATCTATCTATCTATCTATCGACCAATCCATCCACTTTGAATCCAATTAAGGTTCTCAAAATATTGGTATTAACACTATTAAAAATACACATGTGATAACAGTTTTTAAATTATCAATCAGATAATAAGTATATATATGCTTTTGCACTGTTACAGATTTTCTCTGTACCAGTTGTTTTATTTTACAAAAAAGTATTTGTTTTATAGATGGCGCATTAATATTGCTCTTCTGAATAATTTTTTCCATGAGGATTGAGTAATAAACAATCTGATTTTGTGACAGCTCTAAATGCAATGAATCAGACTAATGAAATAAAAAGCACCACAGGAATTTGAAACACTTCTGTAATTGAATATCGGTCTCCATTCAGCCGTCATCAAACCTTTTCAGTCTAGGGCACAAATTAGATATCTCAGTCAGCACCCTGTCTGATTAAAAAACAGTATTATGGTTGTGCTTGTGGGAACCTGGTCAGCGTAGACGTGGAGTTACATTTGTTCTGGCTCAAATTGAATGATCCAGAGTGAACTTTGATTTCTTTAAGTGACTGACCAGACCAAAGGCTGCCATGCTATGTGCAACGGTGTGTGTGAGTGTGGTTGTGTGTGTTTGTGTGTGTGTGTGTGAGTTTGAGTGTGAGGGTAGTCGGTGTGATGGCAATATTGTGGTGGTTCCCACGACGGCCATCCATCCATTTCTTGGCACGATCACACACACACACACACACACACACACACACACACACACACACACACACACACACACACACACA